CACATGCCCTTGACCGGAATCGAACCTGGGACCCTTCAGTCCACAGGCCGACGCTCTATCCACTGAGCCAAACAGGTTAGGGCATCAGCTCCCTGTTTCAGAAAGCGGCTCTTCCTAACGCCTGCACTGGATTCCGTCCCTTTCTCGCCAAAACTCTCCCTGGGCTCCCTCCTACCCACAGAAGAAGGTTTTCATCCCACAGCCTGACACTCCAGGCGCCGATCCCCGCTAACCCCGCCGGCCTCGCCTTACGTCCCATGTTTCACGTTACGGTTCTAACGAACACACCTTCTCCGTCAGGCGGGCCAGGAGCAGGGGGTGATGGGAAGAAACAAACATGGACAAATACTAAGATTTTAGTCATTGAAAATTAAATAAAAACAATGTCGGGAGGTAGCTTATTCTTGTCATTCTGTCTCCTTCCTGGCCATTCCACGGTGGCTTTGGTTCTCCAAAAGTAACCTTCTCTCCCCCCTCCCCCCCTTTATTCCCCTCCTTTCCTCTTCTCCCTCCCTTTCTCTGTAACCCAACTCTGTCCCCTCCACTCAGCTGTTCCAGAATTCTTGGGGCACCGTAGGCAGGAATCACGGACATTCCAAGCGCAATAGGGACTCCCCGGCTTTAGAACAATAGCGATTCAGCACCACGGAGAGCGCCTCGCGGGTCCACCTACGTCCTCCCTGCGTCTTCCTAGCAGCGGTTCTCAACCTGTGGGTCGCCACCCCTTTGGGGGTCGAACGACCCTTTCACACGGGTGGCCTAAGACCATCGGAAAACACATATATCATTACATATTGTCTTTGTGATTCATCACTAGGCTTTCATTATGTTCAATTCGTAACAATGAAAATACATTCTGCATATCAGATATTTACATGACGATTCATAACAGTAGCAACATTAGTTATGAAGTAGCAACGAAAATAATTTTATGGTTGGGGGGTCATCGCCACATGAGGAACTGTATGAAAGGGTCGCGGCATGAGGAAGGTTGAGAACCGCTGTTAGGGTTTCTCTCGCGCGCTGTGAATTCCACCTGGGACAAGGCACCTGCGTCTCTTTCTTCCCTTGAAAAAGTCCCCCTCGCTCCTCCAGCATCACCCGCTTGGATGTCGCCTCCTGTTGGAACCCTGGTCACTCCCGCCGTCCCCACCACCCGGCTGTGTGGGGCGAGTGCATCTCCCCTTTTCCAGCGTGTCCTGAGCGGCCCTTCTCCTGCCCCAACACTTGCACTGCCTTTTCCAGGACTGAATGCCAACTCCACAGGGCTACTCCTGTCTCTCTCTCTCTCTCTCTCTCTCTCTCTCTCTCTCTCTCTCTCTCTCCATCTTGGTTTCCTCATTGGCAACATGAGGTGGTTGGACCAGATCATCTCATTCCCAGATCTAAGATATTGGTACTATTTTCCATCCTTTCCTCTCTTTTTATTTAATTTTAAATATCTATCTATCTATCTATCTATATAGCTAGATAGATATAGATATCTACAGATAGCTATAGATATTTTTTTATTGATTTCAGAGAGGGAGAGATAGAAGCATCAACGATGAGAGAGAATCATTGACTGGCTGCCTCCTGCATGCCCCTACCAGGGATCGAGCCCGCAACCCTGGCATGTGCCCCTGACCAGAATCGAACCCGGGACACGTCAGTCCGAAGGCCGACGCTCCACCCACTGAGCAACACCAGCCAGGCCAGGGCCTTTCCTCTCTTTTTAAAATCACCTTGGTTGTTATGATCTCCTGGGGCAGGAGAGAGCCGTGGTGTGGCTTCCCCGACGGAGCAACTTAGCCTCTGATGGCTTCTGTTGCCTCAACTGGAAAACGGGAATGACAATGACGTCCGCCTTACCAGGCGAAGAAAAAGAGATAACTTAATTTGCATAAAGCGCGTAGAACTTCCCCAAACCATGGCACTCAATAGAGTGTTTCTTATTAGTCTTGCTGCTGTTACTACGACTATTCATGTGTGTAAAAACTCTACCGCGTGTCCAGTAGTTATTGTTATAGATCAGGCACCAGGTTGGCCCTTCGCGCTCATGATCTAGACCAGGAATCGGCAAACTGTGATTTGCCCCACCGTGTGTGTTTGTTCGAGTTGTGAGCTCAGCCTGGTTTTCACACTATTTCATGGCGTGGAGGAAAAAAATATTTCATTCCATTACCATTTATCCGCCCTTTACCCACTCCAACCTCCCTCTACTCCCCCACCCCAGCCCCCTTTCTCTCTGGTAAGCACCATACCATTGTCTGGGGTGGTGAGCACACAATACAATATACAGGTGATGTATTAGATAATTGTACCCCTGAAACCTATATAATTTTATTAGCCAATGCTAATAAATTCAATTTTAAACATTTAAAAAAATATTTTGTGACCCATGAAAATCACAGTAATTTTGAATTTTAGGGTCCATAAGTTAACAGTATTCGTGGAACTGGGCTCTGCCCACTGCCCTGGGTGCTTTGGCACTACAACCCTATGGCCCACAAAGTCTGAAATATCTGCTATCTAAATTTGATGAGGGGAGGATGGGCGTGGGCTGGAAGAGGTTTATGGGGGGAAAGGGAGGACCTATGTAATACTTTCAACAATAACAATAAAAATAAGCCTGGCTGGCGTGGCTCAATGGTTGAGCATCAACCTATGAACCAGGAGGTCAGGGTTCGATTCCAGGTCAGGGCATATGCCCGGGTTGCGGGCTGGATTCCCAGTGGGGGGCGTGCGGGAGGCAGCCGATCCATGATTCTCTCTCATCATTGCTGTTTCTATCTCTCTCTCCCTCTCCCTTCCTCTCTGAAACCAATAAAAATATATATTTTAAATAAACAAACAAATAAATAAAAGGTTTGCCGACCCCTGGCCAAGATTTGTTCTCTCAACAGCTCCGCAAAGGAAGGCTGTAGCACACACAAAGGAAGTGTTGGGATTTGAACCCTAGTCTCTCCGGGTTCACAGGAGCAGGTTCCTTCAGCCGCTACCCCCACCACCTTGAATGCACACGATGGGTACCTTGTGGTGGGTGCATAGGTCAGACAGAGTCTATGAAATGACCTGGAGAAACCAGGTCAGGAAGTGGAGTTCAATGTCTTTCCAATGACTCTGTTGTTACATCAGAGGCCTGACTCCCAGCCCTGACAGCATCATTGATCCTCAGCTTGACCTTGGGAAGTCCGGTCCTGCTGCACTGGCGTGAGCACAGCTTTTGTGATGAGAAAACCCTCCCTTCTAACCTCAGCCCGGCCACTGACTGATGAAGCTAGGTCTCCTCTGCTATTTCCAACTCTGTGAACCGCAAACAACGGGGTTTTCTCTTGGGCGGATTAAAGAACACCTCCATGCCCCACTTTCTCGCGCTCTCTAGGCCACTATTTTTTTTTTTTCCATCTGAAAAAATGATGAGCCCTTTCGCTCCGACACTCTGGGATGGTGACAGCCCAGGTGTCTTATTTTAGCTCAGTGTCTGGCTCCACATGCTGTGATTCAAGTTTGCACAAAGGTGGCACCCTGGTTTCCCCGGAAAAAGTCTCATCAGTTCACGTTGGAGGCACGCGGGAGGATTCGCCTAGACTAGAGAAAGCTGGGGGAGGAGCAGAAAGGGGATGGGGGAGGCGGTATCCAAAAACCCATCTTGATATGCAGAGGCACCTCGAAACGGGGAGTGGAATGGGGGGCCCCCGGGGACCGAATGGAAATGAGACCAACAACAGGGTTTGCTCGTAAAATATCAACTGGATTAAAAGGACCTGAATGGAGTTTAATGACGTTGAGTTCATTGGAATGGAACTGAAGAGTTGAGTCAGAATGGATTGGGGTTAGGTAGACCAGATGGATGGAGTTAAACATGATAGAGCTGAGTGGACCTGAGTAGACCAAACAGCTGCCATTGGGAAGAGGGGACACCAGGGAGGGCTCTCCTCCAGGCCTCAGCACACTCGAGTCCTCAGGAACCAGCTGATGCCGGAATCTTGGGCAGCTCCCTGCACAATTCCGGGCCTCAGTACCCCCGTTTTTATTAAGCGAGTGCTAATAATAACTCCCGGGCAGAGATGTTATGAGAAGGGCGTGCAATCACTCCTAGCTCGGAAGAGAAAGAACTAGAGACACATATTGAATTCTAGCTAATGACATGCACAGGGAAGTATTTAGGGCAAAGTGTACCGATGCTGCAACTCGCTTTGAAATGCATTTTTTTAAAAAAAGTGAGATAAAGCCCTGTTTGGGTAGCTCAGTTGGTTAGAGCACCGTGCCCGATACACCAAGGTTGCAAGTTCGATACCCGGTCAGGGCACATACAAGAATCAACCAATGCATGCATAAGTGGCACAACAAATCAATCTCTCTCTCTCTCTCTCTTTCTTCCTCTATCTCTCTCTAAAAGCAATAATTTTTAAATTAATAATAATCAGAAGAAGAAGATGGAGGAGGAGGAGGAGAAAGGTTGATGGATGGGTAGAAATATACTAGTAGATAGCTGGACAGATTCAGGACAAATGAAATCTAATCATAGGGTAATAATTGACTTTAAGTGGTGGCTCCAACATTTTTTGCCTTTTCTATTTGAAAAATTTTCGGAGAAAATGTTGCACAGGAAATAAAGAGCCTTGTAATCTGTGACTTGCTGAAATCTCAGGAGTAGCTGAAGGCCCAGCTCTGCCTCTCCCTGGCTGTGTGGCCCTGAGCAAATGACCTCATCTCTCCGAGTGTTTGTTTTCTCATCTGTGAAATGGGTCTATTAATAGCGTCTACCTCACAGGGTCCCGAGTATCAGAGCCTGGTACCCCCTGAGCACCTCATAAGCATCCGCTAAGTTTCAGCCTCTGTGACATGGGCGCTGCTCTCTCCATCTCCCAGAGGAAAAGTGGGGCTCAGAGAGGTTCTGCAACTCCCCCAGGAACACACAGCAAGGAAGTGGCTTTTTTAGTGCAGGAGTGAACCACCCTAGAACCTAAAAGAGCACCCCTCCCCCCAGCTCCCGTAAGTGCTTTCCTTGGGCTCACCCGATAGGATGAAGAAGATTCCAGAAACGAAGGCCAGAATGGTCCTCTGTGGGCGGATGTGGCCGATGTTGCTGATGACGAAGGCGGTGAACACGAGGAAGAGGCTGACCATGGGGAAGGGGGTGGCTGTGCGCACGGTCTCTGGGGGAGGGGAGAGACAGGGGGTGAAGGGAGCAATTGGGGGGGACACCTCCCCATTCCCCATGACCTCCCGGCTGTCACCATCCCCCGCACCCCTTTGAGTGGCTTCTCTCCTTTCCACAGACTCTTCCCCTTTCTGATAATCCCACTGCTGCCTGGTGGCCTTCATCCAGGCCACACCTCCTTTGGTTTGACCCCACCCCTTTTGCGTTGTCCCCGCCCACCCGCTGTCTAGGCCACGCCCCTTGCCCGCCCCTCCTCCTTTACAGGCACTAAGCCTTCTTTACAGCCTCCACTTCTTTTCTTCCATCCACCCCCCCCCCAACCCCTTCCCTAGTCTTGCCCTTTCTCCCCGGCCTCCCCGGGGCCTCTGCCCCCCT